AAATTGTCATTTTGATCTTATTTTTATGCTTCTTACATTGCAGTAATTTCACCCATCTTTTTCTGGCATTTAATTGCTGTTATCTGGTCTCCTTTATCAATTTTGAATTATATCATTTCTCTTTAAGCTCTCAAAGAGAGCTCAAATGATGAGAACTCAAAGAGAAATGATGGAATTCATTTCTTCTGTAGGCCTACCTTCTACCACCAGCTCTGGGCCACAGACGATAGAGACTTCTGAGTTTTTGATGAGTATTGCTTGCACATCAGTACATACTTACTGCTTTGCTATTCAGAGGGCTTCTAGACATTTCTGTGGCTGGTTTGTCTGCTTTCTAGCATAAGTAGGCAATCTATTTGTGTATTTACCTCTTTGAACTCTTAAATCTTTCCTATGTCATTTACTTGGCAGTTGTAGGATTTATACTTATTGTAGTGTAAAAAGTATTTATACTTTTCAAGTTGCTTAAAGTGTGAATTTAGCAGTATCATAGCATCATTTCCTGAGTTTCTTGCAAGGTATGAAATCTTACATGAGGGAAAAATCTCTCTTGCCAACTTTATTTTCTACCCTCCTTGATTATGATCATTAAGGACAGTATTCTCATAATGTCTTCTGAACTTGTGCTTACCTAGATCTTGTAGCAACTTTGTTATCATCTTTTCTGTCCTTTTCAGATCTGACATAGCCCAAAGAAAAGCGTTGTTCTGAGCAAGATCTGCTTAGACTGAACATTTTATCTTCTTTGAAAGTCTAATTATTAAGGAATGTCATCAGCTTTTTCTGTTCTCCTGTGCTTGAGATGAAAAGCTCTTTATATGCTACCATAAAGTGCTGTAGCTTTCTACACTTGATCTTAGCCAAAAGGCCGAGAAGTGATAAGTGCCGTAGCTTTCACACTTAGCTTTTGACCATACATTAATCACTCTCAATGACTCTGGACTGCATCGGCGCACTCAACTCCAGTGTCCATCTGATTTTGATTTTCTCCATATTTTTCTAATGCATCACACCCTCATTTTGTTCTTAAGAGTAAGGAAGTATTTAGTGAACACAGCAACCCTGCAACAAAGGAAATTCTGAAAGCTGGCCAACAGCTGAGGGTTGTCAGCGGCTGTAGTCTTGTCTGCTAGCAGTAGTACCAGCAGTTAGGGCAGATAAACTGTGGTACAGTAGGGGATCATGAACAGTTTAGAATCAGAACTAGAGCTGCAGCCACATGGTAGTGGACTCAGCACGTGCCTTTAAAGTTAATCTAGTTACTATTCTCCTCTAACAAGCCACCTCTGTGAAGCCAAAGAAGGCAGCTTGACTCGTTGCTGTTCTTGAGGAAAAGTCATACACTGTCTATTTTGTGTCCCAATACCATCAACCCCTTGTCATACGACAAGAAGTACAGAATAGGGACTCTGGCAGGATGCCCAGAACCCTGGCAGTATTCCAGTAGTTTGAGTGTCTTTCAGTATCAGTTAATGACATTCCTTGTCTTTCCCCATACTCTGAGGTCAAGGGTTTCTATACTGCACTAGTCCTTCAAGGAGATAGGAATAGTCCAATGTATAGTGACCACTGCTTTGGTAACATTTTTCCTGAGAAGGAGAGGACATAAGGAACTTCCGCTTCCCATTCTTAGGATTTGCTCTCATCCAGTGTCAACTTAATTTAAAGACATCTTTAAACTCATTGGTTTATTTTAGGAAGTGAATTTTTTCAATGTAAAAGTAATAAAAGCTGTTTCTAGAAAAATTGGAGATGTCATACAAGAGAAAAGAAGAAACAAACACATTCATCCCATTATACAGCTTACCATTTTGGTGCATTTCATCCTTGTGTTTTTACAATTTTGTCTTATGTAGATTTGATTATTTAAAACATTTTTTTCTTACCAGTGACTTCAATATTGCAACAGAAGTTTTATTCCATTGTTTCAATCTGTGTGAACCAATCATGTGGGATGCTATGCACAAATGAGTGTTTCACTTACTTAATCACATCTTTGGGGGTATAGAAGCTTCTTGACTTACATTGGATCTACATCTTAATATATTCAGCATAAGTTGAAAATATTATGAGTAAAAAATATACGTATCTAACCTATAAAACATGACAGCTTAGCTTAGTCTACCTTAAACATGCTTAGAATATTTCCATTAGCCTACACTTGGGTAAAGTTATCTAACACAAGACTATTTCATACTAAAATGTTGAATATTGTGTGAGGTTTATTGACTATTTGTATCTGAAAGCTGCTGTCAACACAGTACACTGCGAGGTATCAGCTGTTTGCCCTCAGGGTGGTATGGCTGCTGTGGTCTAGTATCAGAGCACATGTTGCTAGCCCAGAAGAAGGTCAACACTGGAAGATTTTCATTTATTTATTTCTTTGGTGCTGGGGATTGAACACAGGACTTTGTGCTTGCCATGCAGGCACTTAAGCCGCTGAGCTATCTCTCTAGCCCTAACACTGGAAGATTTTACTGAATTAGTATGGTTTTCACACCATTGTAGAGTTGAAAACTCTTGATTAAGTCAAACCATTGTAAGTCAGGGACTAGATATACATGATAATATATATATATATATATATATATATATATATATATATAATTAAAACACTAAAATATGGTTGTGTATTAGGGATTTTAAAACTATATACTAACGTTTTCCATGTAATAAAATTATTTTAAATTATTTGGTACATGATATTTCACTATGTGAATATACTAAAATTGTTATGAGCCATTCCTGTATTACTAATCATCTGATGCATTATCAATGTTTTGCTATACTAAATTAACCTGATCATTTCCTTAGGCTAGATTTTTATCTATTCATTATGGTCAAGAAGTGTGACATGGGGGGCCTGCCCCTTAGCTCAGTTCTTTAAGTGGCTGCTTCCACAAAGCTGTCAGGCTCAGGTTGCTGTGGTTTGATCCCCACAACTCAAGCCAGCCAAACCTGCCCTGCAGGCATTGGGAGCAAGAAGTGTGACAAAGACTGCTAGCTGTCCAGTAACTCCATTGGCACTTTTTCCTGCACATTCAAGTAAACCATATCTGCTGGAAAGCTGTGCTTACAGAACTGAGTTCTAGCTAGAGGAACATGAGCTGCTCCCAGGCTACTCCACTAAATATTACATGGCAAATTTCTCTGACTTGGGTGACATATGTTATCATCTTAGGCTTCTTTTAAAAAGCTCAATAGTTTATTCCAAAAAAATCTCCCCATTGTTGTTCTCCTCTAGGGGTGGAGGAATGAGTGGGATGACAGGGATTCTGAATATAACCCATCTCTGTCTTATCTTTACCTCTCTTTCTCACATGTCTCTGATAATCACCTTTACCATGCCCTAGTGGCAATTCTGGTCAACCCAGTCTCAAATCTTACTAGGATTTACAATACCGCTGTGTCTCCTGAGTGTCTACTTACCATTCTAGAAACTCCTCTGGACCCTGGGAGTAGAGTATATCAGATAGGGAAAAGGTCCAAATCATGGTTCTTGAGGAATTTACAAACAGCACAAAACACATGGAAGTATTGTCATGTAGCAAGTTGGGAACTGATGACTGCTTTGGAGAAAATAATGAGAGAGGGAAAGGGGCATTGGTAGTTCTGGGTTTGGAGGGAATGGGCTGCTCACAGTTTTAAAAGGTGATCAGGGTTGGCCTCAGGGAGACAGTAAGACCTGAGCAAAAACTGAGAGCAAGTGAGCCAGGAAAGTGTATCAAGTAGATGTCTAGAGAGTAGGAACAGTCAGCATGAAGTCCCTAAGGCAGCAGGGTATAAGGAATAGCAAGCAAAAATGTAAGGTGGCTGGAGAAGAAGAGTAACCATGGAGACTGGAGGTGCTGGTGGGAGTTAGGTCATGCAGGGTGTTTGCAGGTCCCTATACACACACTGGCTCTTACTTTGGATAAAACAGGTAGTCACAGGAGGCTTTCCAACAGAGAAATGACCCGACCTGATCTGGACTATTGGATCTATTCCCATTTTCTGTTATCTCTCTTAAGGGTTGTTTATGAAGTTCTAAAGCTCTTAGAATAGCATGTGGCATGTCCTACATGCTACTGAATATTGTTCATTAATTAAATAAAAAACTTGGTGATATAACTCTGAATATAGTGATTTGCCTGTGGTCTAGGATATACACATCTGAATAAGTAATCATAATATGAAATAAGTTCAGAAGATAGTAGAAACATAAAGAATGACTTCTACCTCCAATTTTTAGTGAGAAGAAAGTACAGGTGTTCCCGTTGGGGAGGCCAGTGCTAAGCTACTGTTACTGCTATATTATGAGCCAGATCTTGAATGAAAAGAACTTTGATGAGCAAGAAAGCAATAATATGAAAAAAGAACCAGACGTCAAAAAAGTATCTCATATAAAGCACAATAAGCCAGTGCCGCCTGTATGGTCACCAGGGCTAGTCTATAAACTACTTATTTGACCATGGTGAGGTATGTACAGAAATTGAGAGCAAGCCCTTAAAAATTAAAAACAAAAGAAAAAGAAAAATATTGTATTTGGTAGAAACTCGTATACTTTTAAAACAAGAACTAAGGCCTGTAGTATTTATGTCCTTTGTTTTTCGCTTTTTTGAACAGGTTTTAAGTTGTGTTTTACAAAAATAGCAGTCATGAAAAATTTATTCCTTACCCCAGATCCTTTGAGAAAATGATTCAATATTGCTGGATATTGGGCCTCAGATAACCTCCTGGAAAGGTTGACCAGAGCCATGTGGTGAAGACCCCTGGGTACCTGGAGGAGCAGACACTGCACTTGGGGGTAGTGAGTGGACTTGGAACTTTTTAAACAAATTGAGCGTGTAATGTTTTTTTTTTTTTTTTTTAATGAAGTGTGTGTATTGGGCAGGCGTGTGCAGTCAGGAGATCCAGTATTTCACAAAAAATAACTATTTGGTAAGAGCTTGGTTAAGCAGAGGAGTTTACACTTATCAAAACATAAAACGTTGGAAATACGTGAGCACATTCTTGGCGACCACAGTGCCCCTGGCTGCTGAGAGAGATGCCCAGGTCAGGCTGCGGCTGTCCTCTCCCCGGCAGTCTCCTAGCACTGACACTGGACCAGAGTGAAGACCTTCGACCGGCCTGCTTCACTTCCTCTGCCCAACAGCCCTGCCTCCGCGGGACCCAAGTCACGGCTGGAGAATCGCTTGTAGGCGGAGGAGCCAGCGGGACCCACGGAGCCCAGCTCCAAAGAAGGCACCACACTGAGCCCACTGGGGCGGCCTCCCCTGACTCTGTCGCCCCAGTCCGGAGGCTCCGCCGGCCTTCAGTTGACATCCGTAACTGGAAGGTGAGGCCTCCCGTGTCACAGCCTAGGCCTTCCGCCCCAGTCCCCGCACGCCCGGAGCACA